ATGCCCCAGTTTCCTTATCTGTAAAATGTGGATAAAACTTGTTGCTGTGAAACCTAAAAATGCTAATACCTGTAAACGCTTTAGAACAGTGCCTGGCACTTAGAAAACTCTCAATAAAAGTTACAAATCCACGCTGTTACTAATGTGTTTGTCTCCTTCACTAGGTGGGGTGTTGGGTTCTTTTATCTTCACCTTAGAATCTTCAGGATCTACCCCATTGCCTCTGACACAGCAGGTGCTCAGTTAAGTGGCGGCCTGATGATGGGACCATGTCATGATCACCATCTTGGTCAGAAAATGGATTTAGAGAGGTCAAGTTAGGGGTAACTCAAAAAATAAATGGATATATCCATGGTTGTCAGTGAATTTTTTAAAAATAATATTCCTCTGCCATCTCAAAAATACTGACAAACCAATAAGCAAACAAAAACAACAACAGCAAAACCTCCTAAATCACTTCTGATTTGGAAAGGGACCTACTAGTCCACGGCTTATGCTCTCTTCGCTACCACGAGCTGTTTCCTTCAGCCTCTTCAGATGCTCTGATTCTGGGTCTCACTCTTCCCACCTCCTGGAGACCTCGCTCCTTCAGCCAGTCCCTTTCTCTCACAGATCTCCAGTCTCTCCTTCTTTACCGTATTTTTCTCTTTAATATATACGCATGCACAAGGCCTTACCATTTACAACACCAACAAAAACAATGAACAAAACCACCATCCCTTGATCTTCATATCCACCTCCACCTACCCCAGACACTATCTTGCTTTTTGACAATGACCTCTACATGTTAAACCAGATAGGCACTTTATGTCCTTGTTTTAGTGACGTAGCAGTATCGAACGCTCTTTGTTTTGTTCTTGAACTTCTTTCTTCACTTGATCCCCAGGTGCCACTGTCTTCCTTCTCCTCTGCCAGTCTTCTGCAAGCTATTTGCCCTCCTTCTCTCCACTAATGTGGTTTCCATTCTTGGACATCTTGCTTTCTCTCTCTACACGTTTGTTCTTGGCAATCTCATCCATGCCGAAGGCACCAAATATTTATTTCCTGATGATTCTCTAAGTGATGATGACTCCCAAACTGTATTTCTAACTCAGACCTCTCTGTTCGGCTGCAGACTTGTATACACAGCACTTTCCAGATGTGTCCACTCGGATAGATGCTCCTATGTCCTGCAGATGCTCAAGCTCAAAATACTCAAAATGTAGCTTGCATTTTGCCCTCAAATGCCATACTGCTTAGTAAAAGGTGCTCCACTTACAGAATCATCAAAACAAGAAACATTGGCTTCATTCTAGAACCCACTTCACTCTCACAACTGTTTTGTTAGAATCTGTGGAATCTATCTCCTAAATATCTCTCACATCTACGACCTATTTTGTGGCTGTCTTCCCCTCTTTCCTTTCACTCTGCCACTATCTTAACACAGGTGCCATTGCTTCTTGCCTGGCTTTCCATCTTTTCTCTGGTGAATGCAAATCTGATTGTGACAATTCCCCTGCTCACCATGACTTTCAGGGTCAAGTCAAGCCAACTCTTCCCCCAACACAGAGCACATTGATGCTCTGCCCCCTGCCTACCCTTCTAGCTCTAGCTCTCTGCTCCCTAGTGCACCAGGTTCCTGGGTGTATCAGTTCTCTCTGGAGTCCTGGGTTCAGTCCCTAACACATTCACTCACTGGTGTTCTCATCCTGTAATGTCTTTCCTTCCTGATCCCTGTTCTTCCCCCACCTTCTTCAACTTACTGACTCCTGCTCATCCCTCAAGATTTAATTAAAGCAACACATTCCCCAGGAAGCACTCCTTGACACTTAAGTCAGTTTTAACTCTTCCTCCTCGGTGCTCTCAGCCATCTCTCTCAATGTCACTGGGATGCAATGTGGTTTAGTGTTAACAGCAATGACTCTGGAACAAACAAAAAATGTTTGGAGTTGAAACACTAGCTCTGCCACTTCCCAGCTGTGTGACCTTGCCCAGGCAACTTACTCGCCCTGTGCCTCAGTTTCCTCCTTTATGAAATAGAGATGAAAATGGTAGTGCCCACTTCAAAGAGCGGTTAGGAAAATAAATGAGATTGTTTATGTAAAATCCCTGTAACTGGCCCTAAGACGTAGAGAGTCTGAAAAAAGTTGAGTTATTTTCATTATTCTCATAGCTACTGATTTACTGTCTGCTTCCCAAAACAAACCGAAAGATCTTTAGGGAAAGAAACCAAGTTTGATTTGACTATGTTCCCTCAGCACCTAGCACAGCATCAGGGACATAACAGGTACTCAGTAAATACTCATTGAATGAATGAATAAATATAGAGAAGAATTAAGTGAAATATAGCCTTAAATTTTACCTTTAAAGTATGTGAAAGGAGAAGATCACTCTAATTTTATCATGTATTTTTTTTACTTGTGCATTAAGATGTTGGTGGTATAACTAAGTGTAACTGACTTACTGTTCTTAGACTGAAGAATCTTCCACTTCTGACAGAAGGGTACAATGTAGTTAATTAATAGAAATATTATTCTGGAAATCACATGTAGGCATGAACTGTGACAAAATTCCTTCGAGACACACGCAGAGAAACAAAATTTGAATTCGTATCAGAAAGAGATCAGAAAGCCTAACATGTTAAAGGGGAAAAAAAGGTAGAGACAGTTTTCAGGAACCACCTTTCCTGAGCCCCCTCTGGTAGCCAGCCATGGCTGTGAAAGGTTAGTTAGGTTTGCAGAGTGACTCATCAGTAAAGGAGAAATGAGTTTGAAAGCATTCTCCATTTCTACCCACTGCCCCATGGATCCCGCAGAGAAGAGTCTGAGTCTGACTAGGGAAATGTGATAAATGCGACAGTGGCAAGCCTCAGTCATGGCCATTTTTTCTCCGTGTTCTTCATGAAAGCATCACTTCTTGTTTATTTTGAAGAAGATTTTTTCAAATACAGAAATCTGCCTTTTTCCTCCCATAGGGCTCCATTGAACCCCAATGGAGATGTTACATAGTGATGGGCATTTGTTATCTCTGCTATTTGGGGGATCTTTAAAAGGTATTTGCCCCCTTAGTGGTTACTAGAAGCTCCAGAGGACTCCGAGGGGGTCCAGCCTCTCATCCGTGCCTTGAATGTCCCACATTTCTTTATCAAAAGTAAGCTCTGTGACAAAACAAGGCTATAATTCCTCCTCTGCCACAGAGTTTTCATATTGTAAAAAGACTGGGACAGCTTTGAAAACTTCTCTGAAGATTTTTCATAATCAGAAATAAGGGAAATTCTATTATGCAAGTGCTGAGTAGAAACACCTGCTCTTTCTATACCTGGTTTATCTTCTTTCCAAACCAGGCATGGGTTTACAAACTGTAGAGTATAAAACAAGGAGAGGGTGAATCCAAGCAATTTTATAGAAACTTATAGAAATACTCAAATATGGAAATGTCAAATTTTTTTTTTACCATGAGATATTTCTAAAATACAATCCAATTAATGTGGAAGTCAGAGAATAGTTGATTCAATTAATTTAACTGTGAAAAGTAAAAAATCCCTTTTAAATAATTCCCACCATAATTCAGTATAGAGAAGATTTCTATTTATTTTTTAATTCTAGGCTAGAATATCCCCAGTCTCCTTTTCAATCAGATCTGGCTCAGATCAGATCTACAGTGAGTATCCTCAGGAAGATGATAATTATAGTAACTACTAGACACTGAAATAAATGCTTTATGAACATCCATATTCTATTATCATAGAAATCGCCACAAATTGCCATCCCCATTTTACAGATTAAGAAATTGAGATTCAAAGAGCAATTTACCCAATGACTTGGATTTCAACCTGAGAATGTGAATTTCATAATCTGTGCACTTTTTGCTACATCACTGTCTACCGTTTTACAAAAAGAATCCCAAAAGATTTCAGCAGAAAGACAGTTTACCTGAGATCCCCCTTTTTAAAGACCACATTGCATAATTATAACTACAAAAGGAGAAAAATACTCCATCACAGATTTTTGGGAAATGGGTTTGGGATCATTCTCAGACCAGAGCCAGTAACATAAGCACTCTGATAAAGGGCACAGTCTAGGAGGAAGGAGACTTCTGACGTGGGGAGCAGGCGCCAAGATATCATGGAGGGACATGGGGGCACTGACTGGTTTTCCCTCCTGGTCGCTTCTGTCGTCTTGCTGATTCTGTCTTCTTCTGAACAGCCAGGAGAGCCTGGTGTTTGCAAATGTTCACCAAACCTGGAAGTCTGTGGATTGTAAATTTCTAAAGCTGAACTTATGCCTTCAGCATAAACCGGCCCTGGTACGATGAAAAGTGCACTTTTCAGATGCAGCGAACCCCTACCTTCCACAGATGGCATCCCCCAAACTGTGTGACCTCATGAGGGTCTTTGAGATCCAGGGCAAGCTGAGCTGAGCTAGGCAGCATCTGCTCTTGCTCTGGTTCTCTTAGTTTCCATATCCTTGGCTAAATAAAATCAGAACTTATACTTTTAGGGGGTGTGTGGGTGGGGAGGCCTCTTCTGGGAAGCTGCAGACTCGAAGTTTCATTGAACGATGTTAATATCGTTGTCTATGCTGTTTCATTAACACCTACAGATGCTCATTTTTATTATTCCTATTTTCTTTTGTGTTATTTCCCCTCTTCTCTTATTCCCTATTGCTGATCACTTTCCCTAATGCTCCGTCTACTCTTAACTCTGTCTCCTGGGAAAAAGGAGACACATACACGCACAAAATATACATTCTACTCCATATTTTTAGGGCAATATATTCTCTCTCATCTTCCTGGAATAGCACTGCTTGGGAATTGCTGTATGAGCTTGCTTCCTTGTGAGAAACCCGAGGACAGGCACCCAGCTCTGTCTCAAGTTTGTGTATTAACCTCCTAGCATCATTCTTGGAATAAAGGAGACCACTGATGTCTGAATTGAATGAAACTACATAATCATGGCTAGGTGCAGCTTGAAGTGACAAAAAAAATGACTATTCACGAGTTGACAAAGAACTTATACTCACATTTCAGCTCGAGTTTGATGAAATCTGTGTTCCCCAGATTTTCAAGGAACACTCCACGGGGGATTAATGTTTTGAAGTAGAAGGAAATGTCAGCACTGGTTTCCCCTTGGAAAGTAGAAAAGTGCAGGTAGGATGATGGGTTTGGGAAAGAGGCAGCATTCCAATAATTCCCTGTGGAAATAAAAAAAAATCAGGGTAATTGATCACGGTAGTAATGTAAAAGACATCCGTTTCTTGAGTTTTAATAAATTTCTATTGGCAATAGCCCTTGTTTCCTCTCATCCTGCTGAACCACATTGTACCCAATCCCCACAAACATATCTTAAACTTTCCAACAGTTATATGTGTGTGTACATATAAAATATTTTATTAAAGATTGATAGTTGGGGTTCCTACCAAGAGCAGTTCTGGAAGGACTCTCGGGAGTAAATGCCAATAGAGGAGAAACTAGAGAGAAGCCCCTGGTGTCACTGTCTGTGAGTGGTGGGGGGGCCTGTTTTGAACTTGCATACAGACTGGCGGCTTTGGTTTGGTGCGAGTAGCATCTGGTCTAGACCTAGAGGGATGGACTAGGACCGGGGTCTTTGGTTTCTGCTGTGGCTTCTCCTCCACTTTCATCTTGGAATAACCAGTGCCTGCTTCTGGTCAGCAGCTGCTCAGACTCCGAGTGTGGCGCCGCAGGAATACCACTGGGGGATGCAGAAGCCCCGCACAAGTGAGGAGCTGAGAAAAAGATAGGATGACCGGGCCAGGCTGGTCATTTCCCCAACCTTCTTGCTCAAACCCCTAGAGGTGAGTTGCTGTAGAGTGGGTGTCTCCTCCCCAACCTCTTCCTCTCTGGGCCTCCAGGTGACACTCTGACCTTTGGGGTGTTTTGGGGGATGGGGAGTGCTGAGCTGAGCCCACCTAAGGGCTCTCAATCAGCCTCTACCCTGAGCTCGTGGAGAAGACATGGTTGTACCCACACCCCTCCTCACTCATTGCCTGATAGTAGCCAGTGTTCCCAGGAGAAAAGCAGTTCACAGGACAAAATAAAAACATCAAACTGGATGACTCACATCCCTTAGAATAGATAGACCAAGAATTTAATATGAGACCAAGAGCTGACTCTCAACTTCATCTCCAGGGGAGAAATTCCTTTTTGATGTGCACATTTCTGAGTACATTTACTGTCACAGCTAAGAACTAAAATACATGGGCTTGCTTTAAAACAGTCTCTAAAGCCTTGATCTTTAATACTAAACCTATGCGAAAGTCACCAGATTAGGCCCAAGATGGAGTCACTCATGCTAAGCCCCACGTCAGCAAACCAAAACTCAACAAAGTTTCTATGCTTGGCTCTCCCAGAAAAGGAAGGCCTAGGTCAACCAATAAGCACTTACTTGCCTGCTCAGCACAAGTTACCCGACCAGCTCCAACGCTTCCCTTTGCTCCTATAAAGGATGGAACCCTGCTTTAATCAAATGCCCAGTGTAACTTTCTCATTCCTGCTCACTTTGGCCTATAAAAATCTCGTATCTTGTACAGCTCTTTGGTGCTCCTTTCTGTCTGCTAGATTGGGTGCTGCCCAATTCATGAATCACTGGAAAAAAGCCTGCTAGCTCAGTAAATTGTCTGTGGAAAATTTTCTTTTAACACCTAAAATACATGTTTTTTTAAAAACCGATTTTTGTTGTGTTGTTCTTTCAAAGAACACAATGAATCAACTAAGTTCACTCTATTAATTTCTAGATACTATATTTTTTACTTTCTTTTATGCAAATTATGCACATATGCAACATTAAGTTCAACTACTATTCTTAAATAAAATTAACTTTGTGTTGGTACTGCTATGCTTAAGCCATAATGTTAAATTAAATAAATAATGTTGCTATATTATGAGATGTTAAAATACCTTCTGATTTAATTAATGCTATTTGTTTTTGTTCTTAGAGACATCTAGGATATCATGACATCTAGAGAAGTGAATGGCGATATATAACCAGTAAGTCAGCGCAAAATATGTTTGTGAATGTCTTCATTAAAGTAAAAACAGTTGTTGTTGGTGGTGGAATCTACTGTTTAAGATGTCCCAAATGTCTTAGTGCAATTTTAAGCTATTTTTTTTTAATTGGAATATCATAGTTTTCAGTAAGAAAAAAATAGACTAGAAGAATATTACACGATGTTGTTTAGAATAATACCTGAAAAGAGAAAATCTTAGCTATCGTTTAAGTTGCTCTCATCTGAGGGCTGAGTCCTCTTTCTGGCTCAAAATCTGCCTTAATATACAATGGGTGGATTTCAGGTTCTCCTTGACCAGCTGGCTGAAAATGAAGGTGTCTTGAGATAAAACCTAAGTCAAACTAGAAGTTGCAATACTCTCACCAACCAGAGTTCTAGGAGGGAATGAAGATAGTCTCCCAGGTCAGCAGGATTCAACTAGTTCTAACTGGGTGAGAGCCCTTTAACGACATAGGAGACAAAAAGGATTCAACTCCCCAGCCAAACTTCAGCCTGAAGCAAAGCAATTCTGTCTCTTTAGGCTGTATCCCCAGGACATGAATGTAATTAACATTTAAAAATTTCAATCCAATCAAGTGCATTCTTATTTTTGGAGGTGGTGATGTATTAACAGAAGGGCAGTTGTCTAAATGATTCTAGAAAAAGGAAAGCTGAAAGTAAAATATGTCAGTATTTTTGGGAGTCTAGCACTGGTTATTCATACAGAAATATCCCCAGAGAAGAGAAGGGCAGTTTAATCAGTTATTCTAGTTTGATGAAATATCCCAATAGACCATGATCCCATTTGTTCTAATTTTATGCTCACTAAGCAACAGCAATCTAACTTGGTCTCTTGACTGGACATATTCACGGGGAAATTTCGCCTTGTACAAATGGTGGTTAGCAGTCATCCTTCTGGAAATGCTAGATTATCACATGATACCTTTGGAGTTGTCACTTGTGGGCTGCCCCAAATCTCTGGATGAATTGACAAAGTCCAGATACTTGACCCAACAGTGAGGACTCTCCTCTGGACCTGACTGCTGGTGTCAGAGTCCAGGTGTCTACTCAGGAGGTGCTGAAGCAGAGCCATTGAGGCACAGGCTGAGATTAGGAATTCTATTTCTATTTATTTTTAAAAACTCATCCTTTAAAATATCTATTTTAGGTATACTTTATAATGTACATAATATATGACTTTATAAGTATAATAATTTATAAGTAAACATGCTTATTAGGATGTGGGCTTAAAGGTTGAGCAGGGGACACGATAAGAAAGTTTCATTGCTGCTGCTTTAGACCGTGATGAACTTCTGTGTGGCCTGTTCTGATGAGTCCATTGTCCAATTTCTGGGATTTTGGGTTATAACAAAATAACATGAGTGCTTTTTCCAGTGCTCATTGCACTTCATGATGCAAGGAACGCATAGCATCATTATTGTTCATTTATATTGCTCCCTACTGACTGTAAGCTCCTTGAAAGCTGGGAGAAAACCATTTCATTTCTGTAACCTTTGGCCCCAGAACATAGTAAGTACTCAATAAATAATAATTAAGTCAATGGGTAAATGAATCGTTGCCCCTCTCAGTTATATCCAATTCCACTCCATATGCAAAGTCCTCATGGGACAAAATCTACTTTACAGTAACCAGAATATTGAAGATGCTAAATAAATATAAATAAAACTAATGCTGCTTTAGTACCTACTGATAACTGGACACTGTTTCCACTAGCACGTCCTAACTTTCCTTACCCATGATCTGATTTCTGTTATTCCCTATAGACCTCATTGAACAATTGCATGCATTTACAAGACTGATGGGCTCACAACCTTAAGATTATTGAAATAGCTGCAGTTTGCTATCCAGGTCAGTGCCGTGGAAGATCAAGTAACCTTGGATGAGAATACCAAGCTGGAAATAGGAGAGTCACCAAATGGCAAGCACTGGTACTGCGGCAGGTGGCAGGGACCGCCAGTGTGGACAGGCAGAAGGGGGCAAGGTTGGAATCTGAGAAGGAAAGTGTGAAGCAGAACAAAACTAAATATCTGAGGCTGGAGGGCCAACTCAACAGTAACAGAGTAACAAGGCCAGTGAAAAAGGTGAGGGACCCAGCCGAGGGCCGGGGCAACGGTAATCAAAGGCTGGGCAAAATGGGGTGCTGTTGAAGGCTCTACGAGGTTGAAAACGAGTTGTTCATACTTTCTGGAAAAGGCCTGGACTCATCTCGGGTAGCAAGAGGAACCAGGGAGCCACCTCCAGCCAGTGCGGGAGAGCAGGGCGGGGGCAGCAAAGCAGGCTTCAAACCTAGTGATTCAGGAGCAGAAAATGCAGTGTCACATACTCATCCAAATTCTTTATCAGCCGTTTACTTTAATCTCGCCCACGATTATTTGGTGTGGTATTCTAACTTCAGAATTTCCAGGGATATTTTCTAATGGGCAGTAATTAATTTCAAGCCTAATTTCAATTCCTAACAAAGTATTACATGTTCTACATAGTTTTAAAAGTCAAGTGGTGCTAGAAGAGATTCAGCAAAATGCGATTCCCTGCTCCAGCCTCCCCAGCCCAAACCCAATTTCTTAGCACCAACTCCTACACTTTTAACTCTTTTCACTACATCCCTGTATTTCTAAAATATACTTGTGTAGATATTTATGAATTTATGCATTTTAGAGATTCTCTATTTAATTTCCTGAATGCAATTATTATTATATAATTATAATTATTTTCTCATGGAATTTTAAAGGCATTTCCCCACTATCTTCAGGTCTTAGTGTTGTTATTGAGAAAGCTAATTCTTTCTGGTTACTACATCTTGTATGCAACTGTTGGGGTTCAGGACATGCTACCCCAAAGTATGACACCTTGGTATATTGAAAATTTCAAGCTGAAGGAATTTGAGAAATGGCATGTGTACGAAGGACTTTCTGACCTTCCCCTGAGCTGGTCATAAAACCCTCATGTGAGGTGCCCTCTCTGTAACTGGTGCACCCTCATGGAGCATCCTCATCTCCAGAGACAAAGGGACACAGTGAAGAATGAGAAAAGACCTCACTAAGCTGCCCCCTGTTTACTACATTTAGCTCGTGATCTTTGTCCTATCATGTCTTTCCATGACTTTCTACTCTTCATCAAACTGAGCATAAAAACACTGAAGTTGAACCATTCCTTCACGTTTTCATTTC